TCCGTTGCTTTAGTTATATGATTTATCATATTACTTATTTAATAAAAATTAATAAATTACAAGAATGGAGGTCGAGTACATGATGGAGGAGGAGGAGTACCAACCACCCAGAAGCATAGATTAACCAAATGGGCAATGAAAGCGATTCTTCACGTTCGCTAAGAGAGAAAGGGTGAAGCTTCAATATTCCTTTTAGCAGTTTGATTGTAGGGTCGACGGAATGGAGAAAAGTGGTGGGTGAAGAAAGGTACTGGGCGATGGGACTGGCGGTGGCGCCGGAGATGAGTCTGAATATCTTGTCGGAGGCGAAAGCACCATAAGGCATCCGGCTCTCCAATTTCTCAATCCGATTGGTAGTATTGTCCGCTGAAGCTCGGATCGTCGCACTCCCTGGCCAGAGGTTTGGACTAGTCAAGCTAAGAGAGGCGGAGGCTCCGCCGCCGCTAAACCTAGTATTTGGGTAAAATTGAGAGGGAGACAGAGGGGCTCGGATTCTCGAGTTTGGGTTTAGGCGTAGCGAAGGGAGGGTAAGGACGCCGTCGAGATTTTATTGCCGGCCACGCTCATCGGCGAGTTTGTCGATGGCGAGAGTCGAGGAAATAAATTTGGGGGAAGACCAAACGGAGCAAACACCAACTCCGGATTCTCAATCGGTTCGCGTACACCACCGCGGGTCTCTCCATCGACGAGCAACCCAAGTCGGTGGTGACCGAAGCGGCGGCTATAATTGTTGGAGATCATTATCTTTGTAATTTATTAATTTTTATTAGATAATTAATATGATAAAATATATAGAAAAATAAGTGGAAGGATGAGGTGGAAAAATAATTAATTTTTTTAATTTCCACGTCATCTAGTTAATGGTCAAACTTTATAGTTGACTGCCACGTAGGACAAATTTAACGGAGTGTAACGGCCGGTGACTAATGGTGAAACGATTTGTAAAGTTAGTGGCGAACAAGAAAGAAAAATAATTTGGGTGGCAAACGTGAAAGATTTGTATAATTTGAGTGACCAAACGTGTAATTTAGCCATATTTGTAAGCTTTGTTATTTTTGTCACCATTTTTGTCACTCATGTTTGTAATGTTTTTTTATGTCTAATAATAATCTGGTTGACTTTTGGACAAAACTCCACCATATAGTAATGGAGTCTCCAAAGTCAACCTTGTATTTTTCCATTTTGTATACTTTGTTGGTCTAGTTTGTCATATTTATATATCAACCATGTTTGTAATATTTGTATGTAAAAAAAAACAACCGGTTGACTTTGGAACGGAACCCTCTATATAGGGATGGAGCCTCCATAGTCAACCCAGATGTTTTTTCATTTTATATGGTTTGTAGTGTTTGTCAGTGTAGTTTGTATTGTTTGTATAGTTTGTATGTTTTGTATTGTTTGTAAATCTATTTGTATGTTTTGTCGTTTTAGTTTGTAATGTTTGTACTGTTTGTTAATCCGGTTTATATACTTCATAATATCTAAACTACCTCTGTCATTAATTTAAAAATTCCTATCACTTTTTAATTTTGAGATTTAATTAAGTAACTAAGCACCCTCTTTAGTCACATGATCCGCCACTTGTGGTCCGTCCCAACTAAGTTTTTCTCATCTAGATAGTAGTTACTGTTTGGTTGTTTATAAAAGGCATATTACTCGGTCTTTTCCTTAAAGTCAACTTCGAATGGGTGAGACCATGAGAGGGTGGTCAAACATATGACACCATGTTGGACAATTATGGAAATATAGCGATCTAAAGTATTGGTAATTTGATTTATTACAATTATGATTAATTAAGGTTTGGTGTATAACTTTTAATTATATATATGCGCGTTATATTAGATCTCAACTCTTAGTTTTGACTTTTGAGTGGGGCAAATCTAAAAGATGAGAATAAAAAAATATTTATTTTTCCTACTTACTTTAATAAGCTTATATTTTTTTAACCCGGATTTTAAGTTGTACAGATGAAATAGGTTCATGTAATCTATATAATGATATCCATTTTCAGTATATTACTACAATTTTTTTGTATCATCTATTATCACTCGTTACTATCCTAGTACAACTATGTACCACCTTCATTTAAACTCAAACTTTAAAAGAAGTTGCATAAGGAACGAGTCAATCGTGATTTATTGTGATCTAGAAATTTCTTGCAATTTTTTTAGGACCAAATATATAGCCATATACCACCTTGGTAAAAGGTGATACCTGGTGGTGAAAGGTGATAAATGTTGCTTAGTACATTCCTACTATCAAGTATACAATCATTGTACTCTATTTTATATTCATATCATGTTACACTTCTATACAACCGTGGTATAGATTAGTAATATATGCCTCAATTATTTTTTCAAAATATAATGAAGTGATTTTTTTTATGTAAAGCAACATTTTTTTCATCAAAAGTTCAATCAAGAGCAGGTTATCAGTTGTCCAAAACAACCAATAAGAACATCTACAAATTGAAATTGAAATAAAAGTAAGGGCGTTATTAAATAACATTATCTGTTAATAAGATGAAGTTTTTTTTTCGCACATTAAATCATGATTAGCGAATGGAATATCATTTTTGAAATCGAAGACTTTAATTGTGAAAAATAATAGGTATTTGGAATAAGTAGGTGATTGTATATACCTTCAAGGTCAATAATAAATAAGAGGTATTTTATAAGATTAATATATATTGCAAAGACATATAATAATAATATAAATTCAACTACAAAACCCAAAAAATATTAATCAAAATAGACGTACTTGGTCAAATATCGATGGATGTTGAAACAAGAAGCTTCCATTAAGAGATATTGGAATGAGATAATCTCAATACAAATAAGAAAATTATGACTTATATATATCTCACTAAAATTTAGTAAAATATTAAGATTTATATAACTACAGGAAGTTCGAATGATAAAATGACATGACCATGTAATTTCTCAAATACAAATAAGATTTGGGGCCGTTTGGATTGAGGATTTTAATACGAGAGATTTATAAGGGATTTGGACCCAAATTCCTTGTTTCAAAAACCAGGAAATTTAAATGAGTTATTTGGCCAATTTGCTTGTTTGTTTAGATATGTAGGATTTAGACCCCACTTATACAATTACCAATTTGCCCCCATCCCCTTCCTCCTCCACCACTAACAAGAACCATGAATTTTGCCTAAGTGTTGCAAGTGTTTCAGGTACCCTTCTTTGCACGTACGCAACTTTTATTTGGCTCGATGAAAAAGGGTGAATGAAGGCTTGTTGTGAAGCTTTGAAGTTTCTCTATAAAAGGAAATGGTTGGGAGCTCGAGAAGAGGCCAGGAAGATTGATTTTCAAGCTTCTCAAAACCCTCCGCTGAAACTGGAAAACTGTCACATTTTCACTAAGTCCGGAAGGCAGCGTGGGTACTAACCTTTGGAGGCCAATTCGAAGAGTTTAAAGGCGAGTCGAGTTCTGAGGATGCTACCCACGAAAGTATGTATATTCTACTGCAACGACGTGGCATTGGATGACTGGAAAGGAGTTTGGAAGGCCTCCAACAAAGAGTGGTAAGATCGCAGGGAGCTCGGTTGGAAGACTGTCTTGCAGAGTAATCTGAATCCGGCTCGGACTAGGATTACTACTACCATCTTTTACCTTTTCTGTTTTGAACTAGTTTTTCGTGTTTGATTGTGTTAAGGACTTCCAGAGTAGTTTGATTAGTAGCGTAGGTCTATTTAAGAGTTCTAATTCATTGGAATTGTCAGTTTTTGTTCAAGTTGAATTCAACTCGAGTTGATTCACAAGCTTGTGTGCTTCGTGAGTTTGAGAAGAGTGACTTAGAGGGATTCTAGGTTGCTCGAGGAGCTTGTATCGATCAATCACCCACTTGATCGTGGCCAAGCATCAGCCATCTATTTCAAGTCTTTCTCCGCGTGAAGAACTGCACAAAATCGACCATCCACATCTATCAATTTCACCCCTGTTCGTTTGGAATTGAGGGATTGAATCAATTCAATCCATCGGTGCGCAACTTTGACACCAAAGTCCCATACATGGCCTTATCACCTCCTCCCGACGAGATCAGACGAACGAATCGTGAGTCAACCACACACAACAATTATTATTGTTCATGCCACGAGCCCGATGGTACAAATAGGTTACATGTAACAATCAGTTGTACACTAATATGTACATCTAATTAATATGGTCACTCACACAATGACACAATCAATATTTTTATAACCCTTGCAGTTTTTTTTTTTTTTTTGTTCTTTTAGTTTATTAAGGTTTTCGTATTTAGTTAGTATTCGTGTGTAGCAATAATCCCAAAAATAATTAAAATCTTCCATCGTCATCGAACCTTTATTCTTCAGTCAACAGAGAGATATCATCGTACATATATAATTAAGTTTGGACGATAAGATTCGCTGACATATCACAATGAATGTTGAGAAGGCCAAAGCTTTGGAGGATTTGAGCCAAGTACAGACAACTATTTAGCAGTTCTATATATGTACCTCTACACAACTATTTTTTTTTATACGTATTTTATGCTGATCACGCTATTTGGTACTTATTAGTGTAATACTATGGTAATTCATGTAAGAGTGTGAGTTATTCACGTAAATAAAAATTCAGACTTTTTTCTTCTAATAATATGTATTGACTATATTTTTTGAAATTAATCTCAATTAATCTGTAAAAATGTGTTGCATTTATCATAATCTACACAATGACATCTTTTTTATATATTTTAAAAAATAATATTTTGCAACGACGTGAATAAATAACAATATGCGCAAACATACCATGAATAAGCTCTAATTTATGTGAACAAATGAAAAAATGTTTGAATTAGGTGTTTTGTAGTTAGACTTTGATTCCATTTCTAATGCAGTTGGACTGTTGGAGTACACATATAGTTGGTCATTTTAGCCAGAGAATGGAAGCAACCTGATGTGGCCGGCCATGTGGGGATCAAGCAAAGGATTCCAACTTGAGTTAGGTGTTTTACAACAAGAAAGTAGGCTGCGCGGGAGCTAGAAGGCTCCTAATATGATCCAACACTTTTATTATTAACAATTCACAGATCATGCAATTCATTTAATTATTTATAAACACTCTCCGAAATCTATCTCAATAACAGCAGGGCGAAGGGCGATGGTTGCCGTGCCCGGTGGGTCTCGAAACACTTCCCTTGACCCCACGCCCAAATTTGCGCACCTCATGAACTATCCTCCCGTCGCCGGCAGCCTCGTCGCCGGTGCCGATACTGCTCGTCGCCACTGCACCAAACCAAACCAAACCAAACCAAAAGAACGCATTAATGAAGATGAAATAATGACATAAAAAAAATATAATAGCCGATCCAAACGAGGAGAAGATGTAGCTAATCTATTAGCACTGACCCGTGGCGGCGGAGGCGGCAGAAGGAGCTCTAGCTGCTCCGACCAGTACCATCTTGTCTTCAGGCAACGAGAACAGGACGACCAGAAGCAGAGGAATGATGTAAATACCAAGACCAGTACTTCTCCTGCTGTGATTTCCCATTAGTTATCTTGGTTTTTTTGGCTCCGTGATGTTGTAATTAGAACAAGCCTACGAATTTATGCCCCCATTTATATAGTGAGGGAGCAGATGCGTGCAGTTTCCCTCCGATGGAAAAAGTTTAAGGAAACAGAGTCGACATTGGGATGAAGCATCTAGGAAATGTTATGATCGGTCTTTATTCTTATCTCCCTGGATTCAACTTGACTGTTTTTTTTTTATAAGACAATGGCTAGCCAGCAGCCGGACAACTTTAGTTGCACTTAACTGTATATATGTTGTTACAGCACGTCTACCGCGCGCACTCTGTCTGCTTAAATATATATTTTTTTTTTTTGGTAGAAATGTCTGCTTAAATATTGATTTCTATGTATATTGTCAGATCATGCGAGAGAGAGAGTACACGAAAGATAATTAATTAGAAACAGTATAATTAGTGTTTGATTCATCCGTATAGTATTTGTCGTTATTAGGGAAACATCCAGGAACGTGATTATCTCACCTTGGAGTCAACCTAGGCAACGTACACCAAGTTTGGTTCATCGAGATATAACTGAGAGTCTAAGATATTAGTAGTTAAATAGAAATTAAACGATAATTGAGAGGAGGCCAGGCCAGAGTAGCCAATTCCCTGGCTTAATAATTAATTAACCCTACTACGTAATACAAAAGAATAAAATGAGTTAAAAATTTATTAGCGAAAACAAATAACAATTTTTCATCAATCCCCGCCACATCTGAACATTTTGGGGTAAGATCATGTGACTAAATGGGTCCTCTTAGCCATATGACTAAGTGGCTAAGTGCATCTCAGCCATCCAATCTCATTTAAATCTAATTATTCTAAATAATCTAATTTACTGAAAGATAGAGTAGTAATTTATATTTTATTTATTTGATAATTAAAAAATAATTGGTACCTCCCACTTGGGAGCGGTTAGCATGCTAACATTTTGGGGTAAGATCATGTGACTAAATGGGTCCTCTTAGCCATATGACTAAGTGGCTAAATGCATCTCAGCCATCCAATCTCATTTAAATCTAATTATTCTAAATAATCTAATTTACTGAAAGATAGAGTAGTAATTTATATTTTATTTATTTGATAATTAAAAAATAATTGGTACCTCCCACCTGGGAGCGGTTAGCATGCTAACCCCATAAAGAGGTTGGAAAAATGACACCCCATGTCATTTAATGCATTTTCATCAAATTTAAAACTCATTAATTACACATTGAAACTCATATTAATTACTTACTTTTTTTTTAAATTTAAACCTACACTAAATACAATTTTCTCTCTCTCTGATTTTTCCTTTCCTAGCAGCCTTTAACCACCAAGTTTCCTCCGACCGCCACACTTCGCCGGTGAAATCCAGTCGGCACACTCTCCGGCCACCTGCAAAAATATACTACTATATTAAAAAAAATGTACCACTGCACTAATACTCACATATGACATTTGTACCAGTGCACTGGTATTTGTACCACTGGACTAATACTCACATCTGACATTTGTACCAGCTCATTGATATCGATACCAGTGCAGTGGTATCGCTACCAGTGCATTGGTAACGATACCAGTGCACTAGTACATATACATATTATGAGGTTAAGTGCAGTGATACAAATATCAGTGCATTGGTACAAAAATCAGATCTGGAAATCAAAAAGTCAGAACTAGAAATTAAAAACTCACCAGGAGAGGGGTTTGGCGGAGAAGGCAGCAACGGGGGATGGTGGCAACGATGCCGAAGGATGGTGACCGTAGGACGGCGGCGGCTGGAGATAGGAGGATGGTGGTGGTGGAAGGCGTTGGAGGAGGACGACGGCAGGAGGGATGGTAGCGACACAAGTGGAAGGCGTGGAGGAAGAGGGAGGTGATGGTGGCGGCGGTGAGAGGAAGAGGCTGGAGGGATGGTGGTGATGGTCGGGGAGGTTTTTAGTCACTTCATAATACAGCAGGGAGGGTTCTGGTGGAAAGGAAATCAAAATGGAGAGAGGAGATGAAAGTGAGAGAGAAATGATAATTAATTGTGAATTTGGGGGAGTGCTTTTTTCTCGTTCCCCAAATTGTTCCAATTTTCAATGTGGGTGAGAGTACCCAATTAGGTAACTAATGCCCAAATTACAAGATAAAAAAAACAAAAAACAAGTTTAATTAATACTTGCCAATGATTGAAAATAAAATTGACCAATCATAAGGGGGTGTCAAAAATCCAACCCTTTTAAGGGAGGCATAGTATCCCATCCCCTCCCACCTCCCTTCCTTTCCGTCCTATCGGTCACCACTTCCTCCCGACGGCCAACGGTTCATCCGCCTTCCGCTGGCCTCTCATCTTCCTTCCGTCATCCTAGAAAAAGGTGGGCTGGGATTTTTTCCCCAGTTTCCCTCGCGCGCGCAGAGAGAGAGAGAGAGAGAGGGAATTTTTAAGGCGGCGGCGGAGAGGATTTTCCAGCGACAGCGTCTGTTGTGTTATGTTTGTCAAACGATTTTGTAATGTTTGTAAGTATGTTTTGTGATGTTGTATCAATTCGGTTTGTATCGTTTATCATTGTAGTTTGTCATTTTTATCTATTATGTTTGTAATGTTTATATGGCAAATACAATATAATATCCATAACTATTATGTTTCGGGGATTTATATCCGCAACTATCAATATACAAAGTATTATCCAATCGTTAATTCCCCGTTAGAAGGTCTTTCTGCAATGCTGACCTGGCAAAAAAAGCTGAGGTGGAATTGAGAACGTGGCATCCCAGGTGGAATTGATTAAATATTTTTTTTTTTTTGGTGAGCAAACGGGCGCAAAAGGGCGCCCAACCTAATCACAAGAAACAAGTCTGGGACTTTGAATCCCTTCCAGGTCGTACAATAACCAGAACTTGAGAAGCGGAGGCGGGTCCGAAATCATGTGGACTCCCAAGGGCAGTGCGTGCCCCGTTGATGCCAAGAAGTCGGCGGCGACATTCCCTTCCCGAAAAACATGCTCAATTTCCGTTTCCCATTGTCGCTCTCTCAAACTTCTCACTTGAAGCACAAGCTGGTAGTGGGGATGTAGTGAGCTGGCTGAACTTATGAGCTCCACCGCCGCCTTTGAGTCCGTTTGGAGGACTGCTCTCCTAACTCCAAGCTCCCACGCACAATTCAAGCCCTGAATGATCCCCATCAGTTCAGCTCGAATAACCGAGCCTTCTCCCAGATTCATGGCGAAAGCACCTAAGAATCTACCATCCTCACCGCGTATAACGCCACCTGCCGCCGAGCTTTGCTGTCCCAACGCCACCGAACCATCTGTGTTAATGCACGCCCACCCAGACTGGGGTTTCCGCCATCCAATCCGCCGCCAAGTACCTAGATCCTTGTCCCCCAGTAGAGAGCTTCCCCGTGAACAAGCCTCCACCATACTCTGCGTCAGTCTTCGGGCATCACTCTGGATTTGTGAAGCTGTCCCCTTTTTCTTCTCAAACACCATTTCATTCCGGTTCCTCCATAACAGCCAGCAAACCGTCGAGAACAACGTTGCGTCAATGTTCTCACTCTTACCTGAAATATAATATAGTAACCACTTCCTCACCTCTTGTTGGAAGAATTTCTCATCCGGTTCGTTCACAAGGAAAGATGACCAAACCTCCCTCGCAAACGGACAATCACGGATTACGTGCAGAGTGTCTTCGACTCCATCCCCACAGACTGGGCACGAGCACTGGCTGGTCAGGTGGCGTCTCATTCTTTCCGCGTTCGTCAATAACCTGTTGTGGCTCGCCAACCAAAGGAAAGCTCTGATACGTTGAATTGCCGGGGTCTTCCAGATCGCTCGCCAGACATGGTTGGCTGGGGCCGGCTGGTGATCCTCATCAATCAACGCATATGCTGATTTGAGAGAGAATTGGCCATTATGGGTGAACCGCCACAATAGCTCATCGTCCTCAACCCCACTAGGGACTTCATGTAGCTGAATCTGTTGAACTACTTGAGGGGGAAGAAAAGCATTCAAATAATCCAAGTTCCAGCCACCATTAAGGACCATTTCAGCCACCTGCACCGATCTCGCTGCCTGCGGAAGCCCCACCGCCAACTCTGATAGCGGCGGGCCATCAAAGAGCCATCTATCCTCCCAGAAGCGTACCTGGCTACCGCTTCGGACATTCCAAAGAGCTCCGTGCGGCACCCAATGCATCACTCGAAGGACGCCCCGCCATAGATTCGAGAGTCGGCCTGTCGTACGAGGTTTAAGGACTCCGTCCTCTTCCTTCAGGTACTTGCAGCGAATCACCTTGGCCCATAAACTGTTCTTCTCCTTCAGCACTCTCCAAGCAACTTTCAGCATGAAGGCGTCATTCATCGTAGTTGCATCCCGCATTCCCAGCCCGCCCTCGTCTTTCGGATGACAAACAGTGTGCCAGTCAACGAGGTGAACTTTCCTCCCGGCCTCGGAGCTTCCCCAGATGAATGCGCGCAGCTTACGATCAATGTAATCTCTGACACCCGCCGGAAGGAACGTCGTTTGCATCGTATATGCCGGAAGGGACGCCAAGACCGACTAAGCAAGGGTGATACGACCAGCTAGAGAGAGCGTGGCTACTCTCCAACCCGACAACCTCTTATCAATCCGATCGATCAGCTCTACATAAGTTCTTTTCGAAATTCTATCATGTATGACTGGGACCCCAAGGTATCTCCCCAGGTTCTTGGTTTCCGGAATACCCAGGCTGTTGCTCAAGGACGCTCCCTGGTTGGACGTTACATTCTTTGAGAAATAAACCCGGGACTTCGGTTTACTGATCTGTTGCCCCGAGGCTTCCCCAAAGACTTCAAAGATCTCATTGATTACCTGTACCTGCACATCAGAAGCTGCACCCAAGAGAATGAGGTCATCCGCGAAAAACAAGTGAGACAGGTCCGGACCTGCTGCAGATAGTCTGATTGGTTTCCATCTTCCGTCATCAACGGCCGCCTGAATGAGGTGCCCCAACCTCTCCATACACAAAGTAAAAATATATGGCGAGAGGGGGCACCCTTGTCGAAGACCGCGGGACGGTACAAACTCTTCCGTTAGA